AGTTCCAATCTTTTGTTGACATAATTATAGATCCCGAATAAATTTTTTTTTATTTTTGGCTCTGTGCTCAGGGATCACTCCTGGGAGAGCTTAGGGCACTGTTAGGTGCCATGGACCAAACCTAGTCACCGTATAAAAGGTGAACACCCCTCTTCTACACTGTCTCTCCAGCCCGAGAATTGACATTTTTTTACATCATGGGGGTGATTTGGATGTTGTTAAGGGTCCATGCCCAGCATGTTAGACATGGAAGAGCACATGCCTTGCACATGAGACCAGGGTGCGATGCCTGGCACCTCAAAAGGTAAAACACAAAGTAGGGTTGGGGGAATAGGTCAAAGACTGGAACTCACGCCTGGCATGCGAGAACCCCTTAAGATTGGGGCTGGAGCTATAGCACAGTGAGTAGGGCGTTTGCCTTGCATGCGGCCAAACTGGGTTCGGTTCCCAATATCCCATACGGTCCCCTGAGCACCGCCAGGGGTGATTTCTGAGTGCAGAGCCAGGAGTAACCCCTGAGCATCGCCGGATGTGACCCCAAAAAAGGCAAAAAAATGTCTTATAGCACACTGCAGGGGGATGGAGCAGAACCCGGGCCATACTGGACAGGTGAAGTATGTCAGAGAAGGGAACCAGAGTCATGTGACTTTCTACCATGTTCCAGACACTCTTCCAGATGCTTCCCGTAGGACCACAGAATACTTTGTTGTTGTTGGGCAGGGCTGTCCTATACTTCAAAGGATGATTAGCAGCACATCTGGCTTCTACCTACCAGAAGGTGGTAACATCTCCTGCCAGGACCAATCAAAATGTCCATGCGGAATGTCTCCAGGGGCCCAAGTTAGCCCCACTGATAACCATGGCTTCAAAGTCTGATTTAAAAGTTGTGGGGTCGCAGCTTGGAGCAGAAAAGTGAAAGGACTATGCGTTAATCCAGGCAATCATTTCTGCCCAGAGGGGAAAGGGTGTTGCTCCCTTCCGCCCTCCTCCCTCTGGAAAGAAAGATGGCGGCCACATGGGAGCCTTGTGGACAGCAGGTATGAGCCGGGGGAGTGGGGGCGACTAAAACCTCATGGGTCGGGGGGCGTTCCGGTCCGTCCTTCACGCCCTACCGAGGTCACCAGTCACCCCCCGCGAGCAGCTCTCCAGCACGGCCATGGCCCCAGAAGCACAAGGACTTAATGCAGAACCCAGCAGCTTGGAGCAGAAAAGTGAACGGACTATGCATTGATCCAGCCCAGCAAGTCTGCCGGAGGGGAAAGGGTGTTGCCCCATTCGCCCTCTCCTCTCTGGAAAGAAAGATGGCGGCCACATGGGAGCCTTGTGGACAGCAGGTATGAGCCGGGAGTGTGGGGGTGACTAAAACCTCATGGGAAGGGGGGCGTTTCGCTCCGCCCTTCACGCCCTACCGAGGCCACCGGTTGCCCCCCGCGAGCGGCTCTCCAGCACGGCCACGACTCCAGAACACAGAAACCAATTTCTTAACTATCTGACTTTCAGTAGAAATACTTCCAGGGTCAATAGGTAAAATAGCAGAAATCCAAAACCAACATTTAATTCTTGAACCCAGCTGTAGAAAGCAAATCACTTCACAATGCTTTTTCAGCATGTCTGATTTGGGGGGGCGGGGGTAAACTCTAAATAATAGTGGTGAATCTTAATGAAATAATGAATCTAATCAAAGCAGATAGAGTGTTAACTAGAATTCATCTGCCTCACAGGGACGGGGAGGGGTGGGGGGTGGGGTTTTATTGGGGTTCTTCAGGGTAAAAAATAAGTATTGGTAAAGGGAAATGTGTTTGATATTTGCATGACTGAGACATAAACCTGAAAGCTTTGTAACCTTTCCCACAGTGATTCAATAAATAAATAAAAAAAAAAAAGTTGTGGGGTCCCAGCACCGCCACCAGGAGTAATTCCGGAATGCACAAGCCAGGAGTAACCCCTGTGCATTGCCAGGTGTGACTCAAAAAGCAAATTAATTAATTAATTAATTAAAGAGTTGTACCACTGGATTCTGTGCCCTTACCTGCCACTCGCTCATACAATCTGATCCCTGCAGAAGGCTACCAAATAGGGCTCGAGGTGTGTGGTCAGAGAGGTTGATGGGGTGGGGGGTTAAGGGATTTTGGTATTATTTTTGTGTGGGGGCCACACCCGGTAATGCTCAGGGGTTACTCCTGGCTCTGCAACTCAGGAATGACTCCTGGTGGTGCTTGGGATGCCGGGGATGGAACCTGGGCCAGCTGTGTGCAAGGCTAACCCCTCCCTGATGTACTGTCGCTCTGGCCCCCAACCAAATGTTTCACAAGAGAGCTGGTCCCTTCCGCAGAGCTGCTCGGATCCCCTGGGTGGCTCAGGCCAGCGGAAGAACCAGGCCAACATGCAGGGGCCCCACAGCTGACTTTTAGGTTTGGGGACCACACTCGGTGGTACTCAGGGATGACTCCTGGCCAGGTTCGAGAGCACCAAATGGGGTGCCCTGATTGAGCCTGCGTGGGCTGAGTGCGGAGCCTTAACCACTCTACTCTCTCTCTGGCCCCTTGATTTTGAGGTTTTTAGGCTGCCCCTGTCACAGCTCAGGGATCATTCCTGGTAATGCTTGGGGCCCAAGTGGGGCTACAGATAAAACTTGGGTCTCACACATGCAGAGCATGAGCGACGCCTCTGAGCTAGTGCCCACATGCCATCATTTCTTGGTTTCTGGATGGTGCCAATGATTGAACCCAGAGCTTCACACATGCAGCTCACATCCTCACCACCACCCATGGACTTCATATATATATATTTTAATGACTATCTGTGCTCAGTAGTATTATAATCTAAGTAGTATTAAAATTTATGGTACCAACATACAGAATTACTGTACCCCAACACCACTGAAGTGCCCATGACCTTCCCACACTTCCCTCCTTTCCCTGTTTGGTAAGTGATTCTGCATCCCACTGTCATGGGTTTATCATTGTCTAATACTCACGGGCCTGTCACAGTCCAGTGCTCATGGGCCCGTCACTGTCCATTTCTCAGGAGCCCGTCACTGTCCAATACTCAGGGGCCCCTCACTGTAGTACTCACGAACCCATCACTGTCCAGTGCTCACAGGGCTGTCACTGTCCAGTACTGAGAGGCCTGTGACTGTCCAGTGCTCACAGGCCTGTCACTATGAATTTCTCATGGTCCTATGAGTGTCTAGTACTCAGGGGCCTGTGACTGTCCAGAACTCATGGGCCCGTGACTGTTCAGAAGTCATAAGCCCATCACTGTCCAGTAGTCTCTATGTTCTTTTGACTCTATATCCAACCCATAGCGTTTTTAAAGAGCTGCTGGAATGGGGCCGGAAAAACAATACAGTGGGGAGGGTGCTTGCCTTGCATGCGGACGACTGGAGTTCCACCCCAGCAACCTGGATGGCTCAAACTGAGCGCAGAGTCAGGAGTAAGGTCTGAGCAAAGTTACATATGACCCTCCCCCTCCAAAAAAAAAAAAAAAAAGCTGTTAAGACCCAAAGCAAATAAGGGGGTAAAGTCCTTGCCCTGTACGTGGCTGAGCCCAGCTCCTATCCCACATGGTCCCTGAACAGCAGTTACGGCCCAAGAGCATCTCTCAAAGGTCTTGTTCCTGAGGCCGGAGAGTTAGGCCAATAGGCTGCAGCAGATTCTTTGCCAGCAGGGGGCCTAAATCTGATCCCCAGAGTGCTGGGGATGGCCCCAAAACAAAGCAGAACAAAAGTTTTTTGTTTTGTTTTGGCTTTTTTTTTTTATTAGTGAAAAACCATGAGGTACAGTTATAGGCTTACAAATTTTGTGCTTGGGTTTCAGTTATACAATGATCAAGTGCCCATCCCTCCACCAGTGCCCGTCATCCATCCCCACGGGTCCCAGCATCCCCCCCCCCCCATCCCCCCCCCCTCCCCCGTCCCATCCTGCCTCTGTGGCAGGGTATTCCCCCTTGTTCTCTCTCTCTTCTTTTGGGTACTGTGTTTTGCAAGAGAGGCTTTGAGTGGCAATCATGTTTGGTCTATCGACTACTTTTAGCATGCTTCTCCCACCCTGGGAGGGCCCTCACAACACCCTTCATTTGGTACTCTCTTCTCTATCTGAGCTTCCTTTTCACCTAGAGCCTGTGGCTGGTATTCCATTCATGGAGCAAAATTCCTGGTCTAATCTCAGCCATTCCTGGGTGTTTTTTTTAATGTAGGAGTACTGCTATTTATTCAGCCACTGATTAGCTGATTAAATTGGGCATGAACTCCACCTTACTTTTTTTTCCCATAATTTTGTTATTTTTTTCTTCTTATATTTATTGAATCACTGTGGGAAAAGTAACTAAGCTTTCAGGTTTAAGTCTCAGTCATACAATGATCAAACACCTCTCCCTTCACCAGTACTCATTTTTCACCACCAAGAACCCCAATATACCCCCCTCCCACCCCTCCCAATGCCTGTGAGGCAGATGATTTCCACTTAACTCTTCTCTACATTGATTACATTATTTCGACAAGAGATGCACCATTATTGTTTAGAATTTCCCCCCCCAACAATCAAAATTGCTGAAAAGGCATTGTGAAATACTTTGTTATCTATCGCTGGTTATGAGAATCATATAATGTCACATGGCCGCAATGGTGGCCGCGTGATTTTGAATTTCTGCAAAGAGCCAGATAATTACAAGATTGGTTTCTGTGCGTCTGGTGTTATGGCTATGCAGAGAGTGGCTCTCCGTAGGGGGCAATTCGTGACCTCGGTAGGGCGTGAAGGAGAGCCGTATGTTTTGGCTTTTGTTGTTGTTGTTGCTTTTTGGGTCACACCCAGCAATGCTCAGGGCTTACTCCTGGGTCTACACTCAGGAATCACTTCTGGCGGTGCTTGGGGGAGCATATGGGATGCCGGGGATTGAACCTGAGTCAGCCATGTGCAAGGCAAACGCCCTCCCCACTGTACTCTCGCTCCGTGCCTCCAAACATTGTTCTTCCCAAAAAAAAGAGATAAACACTTAATGAGAAAACACGAACCCTTTATGATTAGAAAGCACAGTTATATTAAAAAAAAAATATCTGGGCCTGTTAAGCCACAAGAAGAACCAGTTGCGACGGGAGACAAAGGACCTTCCCCGGCTCTCTCACAGTAGCCAAACGGAACCTCGGAACAACTGGGTCAATGTGACGGCCACACTTCCAGGACGAGGACCAGGTGAGGGAAGCGGTGTGGTGCTCAGCTCACAAGCCCTGCAAGAAGCAGAAAGCACATTGGTTAAACCCAGAGCGTGGGCGGGCCATAGCAGGGGCTCCCACCCGGGTCCCACGCAGACCAGGGGCTGTCTCTATCCCGGACCTCTGGCCTCATATCCCCCGCGCTCCCTAACCCCTGCACATCCCTTCTCCACTCAGCAGCCCCGGGAAGCACAATCAGTAACTCACCCAAGTAATCGTCCATCAGAGAACCGATAGCAAACTGCGGGGGGAAAGATAAAAGGGCAGTGAAGGGCCAGGGAAATAGTACAGAGGCTAAGACGCTCACATGGCCGACCTGGGTTTCAACCCCTGCACATCTGGTTCCTCCCCCACAGTGCAGAGCCAGGAGGAAGTGAAGGAAGCAGAGTTGGAAGGGACCCGTGGTCAGAAAAAGGCTGGTGGAAGGACTGGAGCAACAGTCCAGCGGGTAAGGCATTTGCCTTGCAGGCAGCCGACCCAGGTTCGATCCCCGACACCCCTTCCACCCATCCAACCCTCCCCCTTCCTACAGAAGGGCCAAAGCCCACAGGAACCCCAGGGGTGCTGCTGGCCACTGGGAGGAAGGAGGGGGCGAGACTCACGATGTCATTTTTGTCCACACGGGTCCCCACAATCTTCAGCCGGATGTCATCTTCCTGCTGGATCACAATGTCCTGGGGGTGGGGGGAACAGGGGTGCAGACTCAGACACCCCCAGGCCAATGCTCACCCCATCCCAGGTGCTCACCCCCTCCTGCCCTCACCGGCTGCTTCCTAGACGCTCACCTCATCCATGGTTTTGTAACACGGGGGGTTGGAATTAGGATCAAACTCCATCTCGGACGGGATGGACTGGAAGAAAGGTGAGACTGGGTGAGCCCACATGGGTATAATGCTCCTGGAGAGAGAGCATGGCAGGGAGGCACCCCAATCCCCAGCAATGAACAGGGCCCCCTGAGCACCGCCAGCTGGGACTCCTGGGCACAGAGCCAGGAGGAAAACCAAACCCTGAGCACTGCTGAGTGGGGCCCCAAATCCAAAAACCACCACCACCACCAAACATGAAAGGATGCTTCCATGATGGTCAGGAACGGGGATCCCCTTCTGAGTCCCAAACACCGAGCCCGGACTTACATGTCGCGAGATAAAGCAGGACATGGGCCCAATTTCGGTAAAGAGTCCGACCTAGGAGGAAAATGAGGGGCCGTGTCTGTTCATTGTGTCTCAAGAGTCCTCAGAGCCTCCCCTTCCTTCCCGCTTTACTACAACTCACACACACCTGGGGAAATGGGGGATCAGCATGTACCGAGAGCAAAGGGCGCGCACCCCAGGAATCACCCTCATGCTGGAGAGAAAATGAACCTCCCACCTTCCACTTCTAGCTATTTTCTTTTTCTTTTTGGTCACACCCAGCGATGCACAGGGGTTTCTCCTGGCCTTGCACTCAGGATGTACTCCTGGTGGTGCCTGGGGGACCACACGGGATGCTGGGACTTGACCGCGTGCAAGGCAAACGCTCTACGCGCTGTGCTATCGCTCCAGCCCGATAGCTGATTTCTAAGGACACGCTTCATGTTTCAGAAACCTCTCGGAAATGTCATGCTGCTTTCATTTCTCCCCTTTTCCAAGCTTTCGCATTCAAATTAAGCAACTAGAGCATAAGGGTCAAGAGTTTGGGGCCCACTGAACTGGTTGGCCCATGATAAGAACTTGAGTTGAACTTGATAAGAACAAGACCTTGACCAGTAGATTTTTCTCTAAGTTTTGGCTCCTGTGAGTGCCAGAGTCAGCATGAGGCCCACAGGAACTGCTCCATCATCGGAAACTACTATTGGTACAACTATAAACACTCACTTCCGGGGCCATAGCACATTGAGGAGGGCCCTTGCTTTACATGCGGCCAACCTGGGTTCCATCTCTGGCATCCTTGAGCCCCACCCTGAATGATCCCTGAATGCAGAGCCAGGAGAAAGCACTGCTGGCTGTGGCCAAAAACCAAAAATACAACACAAAATAAAACCTTGACTTCCCAGCCGCTGGATGGGGGCTAAAGTAACATTTGACAGGACAGGAACGAAACACAAATGTCCATGATCATGCCCTCAACATATACTTGAGTACTGTAGCACTCTGGCCTGGCACATTTCAATGCCAGGGTAGCTCACAGCTTGCCCTGGATCCATTCATTCAGTCCCTCGTTGGGACCCTGCCTTTGGGGTGCTAGGAACTAAGGGCAACTGAGTCAAGAAGGCAGACGCCCAGGAGTAAATATTATTCGGAGTCAATCAACTCCCAAGTCACAAAGCATAATATTAACTGTCTTCCTGTGTCCATACAGAAAGGACACTGCTTTAAGGTAAGACATAAAATACAAGTTCAGTGTCCTTAGAAAGATCTGATCTTACAAGCTAACAGAATCTGATTAGGGAGAAAAGGTGATTAACTGGCTGGGGAGGAGAGCACAGAGAAGAACTTACAGATAAACAGATTAATGGGAGGGACTCAGGAGCATTGTGATGGGTATAACCCAACAAACCTAAGCTCCCTGTGGCAAGGGAGAAAGGACAAACCAATGTTACTTACACACAAAGAGGCAAGGGGCAGAGAGACAATACAGCGGGTAGGGCTGTACCTGTGTCGCCTTACACGTGGCTGACCCACCTGGGTTCAATCCCTGGCACCCTATAAAGTTCCCCTAGCACCAGGAGTGATTCTTGAGTGTGGAGCCAGAAGTAACCCCAGAGCATTGCCAGGTGTGCCTCCCCCCCAAAAAAGCCAGAAAGTGACTTGGCCAAGGACACCGTCCTAGCAAGTTATGCTGGGAGCTGTCCCCTGTCTGAGACACCACCCAGCCTCCCCAGGAAATGGCCTTACCTTGTTGACCTGAGTGACAATGGCGTCCACAACCTCCCCTTTAAAGGGCCGGAAAACAATGGCCTTGTACTTGACTGGATAAAGGACAAAGCCTCGGCCTGGCTGGATCACACCAGCACCAATGTTGTCGATGGTGGTGACAGCAATGACAAAGCCATACCTGCAAGGGAGATGAGAAAAAGGAAGGCGATAAGTGGGGGAAAGCCCCTGAAAACCATTAGCCACAGAAAACCTACCAGACGGGGCCCGGGGCCCGAGGCAGTGCAGGAGGCCGGGGGCTCACTGGGCACGTGGCTGGCCCCAACATAATCCCCAGCACCTTATTTGGTCACCCCAAACCCAGCCGGGTCACTCCTGAGAGCTAGGAACAGCGGGAGAGCATCAGAGCTAGGTGAAGTCAAACTCATCTGGCCAAAAAAAAAAAAAAAATAGAGCCTGGGAATTGAGGCCCAGCAAAAGGGAGAAGCAGATAGCACATTTGTCCCCAAAAGGCTTAATGACCAAGGGAGAAGAAAGAGCACAGAGCAGTATAAAGTCAACTGCATTACCCCAGAGGGCAGCAGAATTTGCCTTGCATGTGGTCAGCCTGGGTTTAATCCCTGGCAGGCCATGGGGTCCCCTGAGCACCACCAGTAGTAATTCCTGAGTGCAGAGCCAAGAGTAACTTTAAGCCTAGCCAGTTTAGTGGATAGCCCCACTTGAAAGAAAGAAAGAAAGAAAGAAAGAAAGAAAGAAAGAAGGAAAGAAAGAAAGACAGACAGACAGACAACTGCATTCTCCTAATTTCACCTTCATCATCCAGGCCTCGATCATTTTAACTCTGTGGTTTCAGATCATACCTGTGGTACCCAGGGGCTACTTCAAATTTCCTAAAGCCTGTGGAGCTCCACTCCTTGAAGCTGCCCTCTCCCTCACCCTCCAGACAGAGTCTGTGGCCCTCCTCAGAATCACGTCAGAGAGGGGACAGATAGAGAGTGTAGCCGGGAGGGCATCTGCCTTGCATGATGTCAAGACGACTTCGATTCCCGGGCATCCCATATTGTCACCCAAGCACTGCCAGCACTAATTCCTGAGCGCAGAGCCAGGAGTTAGCCCTGGGTGTCACTAAGTACGAGACTGACCCACAAAAAAGAATCATCCAGAGGCTGGAGTGATAGCACAGTGGGTAGCGCGTTTGCCTTGCACGCGGCCAACCCGGGTTCAATTTCCAGCATCCCAGATGGTCCCCCGGGTACCTCCAGGGGTAATTCCTGAGTGCATGAGCCAGGAGTAACCCCTGTGCATTGCCGGGTATGACCCAAAAAAAAAAAGAAAAAAAAAAAAGAATCATCCAGGAGAAACATTAAAATTCAGGTTCCCCGGCCTCTGACAAGGTTTAGAAACTCAAACCAGGGGCTGGAGTGACAGTATCACAGGCAGGGGCTTGTCTTGTACCTGGTCAACCTGGGGTTTTATCCCAGACATCCCATATGGTTCCCTGAACATCACAAGGAGTGATTCCTGAGTGCAATTCGGAGTAAGCCCTGAGCATCGTCAGATATGGCCCCAAAACATCAACAACAAAAAAAGATACTCAAACCACTCAGGATGTTGGGGTCTGTGAGGAAGGGAAGTGGGCACCTTGGTGATGGGGGTGGGGTTGGGACTGTGTGCATGAGAAACCATCACTAACAGCATTATAAATCACAGAATCTCAATCAATTTTTTAAAAAGTTTAGAGGCTGGGGCTGGAGCGATCGCACAATGGGTAGGGCGTTTGCCTTGCACGCGGCCAGCCCGGATTCGATTCCCAGCATCCCATAGGGTCCCCTGAACACTGCTAGGAGTTAATTCCTGAGTGCAGAGCCAGAAGTAACCCCCGTGCATCGCCGGGTGTGACCAAAAAAAAAAATTTAGAGGCTGGAGAGATAGTACAGTGTGTGTTTTCAGAAGTCCGGCGGCGTTGTATCTCTCCCGCTGGTCTACGGCGAGGGGCAGGCAAAGGAAACAAGAGCCCGGCTGGTCGGTATCAATTGTAGTTTATTCCAATCTTCACTCCCCTTCTGCTCCTCTCTCTCGAGCCTGAGCCCCTCTCACTTCTGACTCTGCCCTCTGGAGCCCGAGCCCGAGCCTTAACCTCCAACTGCGCCTGCGCCTGCGGCCTTCTGGCCCCCCCTCCGAGCTTACAGTCCTAGTTTATATAGCAATCATGTAAGGCTGTAACACAAAGGTTACTTTGTGTTACTTGTTACATTGTTGAACAAATCAACAAAGAGAGGTAAAACCACTTCTCAAGATTAACTCAAGGATAAAATCTCATCTAAAGAGATTATTCCAGATTATTAGGAGATCCGCTCAAGGGTGGGATCCCAACAAGGGTGTGTTCTTTCCTCAGATAGTAATCTACTTAAATAGTTGTAGTAAGTCTACTTCAATATTTCTAGCAATATCATTCTGTATGAGCAAAGTAAGAGATATAAATTTACAGTTTGGTTCTTCCTGAGGACATCTCACTATATATTCCGCAGTCTTCAGGCCAGGTTAGTCTTCCTAGCCCCAGCAGGGTCCTAGTCTCATCGTTACTTACTTTTGGATCATGATAGCATTTATCCATGATCATGCCCTCAACTTATAGTTGAGTATCGTGGAGCTTTGGCCTGGCCCATTTCGATGCCAGGGTAGCTCACAGCTTGCCCTGGATCCATTCAGTCCCTCATCGGGACCCTGCTTTTGGGGTGCTAAGAACTAAGGGCAACTGAGTCGAGAAAACAGATGCCCAGGAGTAAATATTATTCAGAGTCAATCAGCTCCCAAATTACAAAACATAATATTAACTGTCTTCCTGTGTCCATACAGAAAGGACATTGCTTTAAGGTAAACTATGCAAAAGACATAATTTACAAGTTCAGTGTCCTTAGAAGAATCTGATCTTACAAGCTAACAGAATCTGATTAGGGAGAAAAGGTGATTAGCCTATTGGAGAGGAGAGCACAGAGAAGAGTTTACAGATAAACAGAGGAATGGGAGTGAGTAGGGATCACTGTGATGGGAGTAACCCGATAAACCTAAGCTACCTGAGGAAGGACAAAACAGTGTTATCCTACAGTACAGTACATAGAGCCACTTGTTGTTACTGTGTTTGGCATATCGAATACCTCACGGGTAGCTTGCCAGGCTTTGCCGTGAGGGCAAGATACTCTCGGTAGCGTGCCAGGCTCTCCAAGAGGGACGGAGAAATCAAACTCGGGTTGGCCAAGTTAGCCACGTGCAAGGCAAACGCCCTACCTGCTGTGCTATCACTCTACATAAATCTATGAACAACGGGAAGACAGTGCTACAGTGCTATAAGGTCACTTACCTTGTACCTGGCAACTCAGGTTAGATCCCCGGCATCACCTATTGTCCCCTGAGCATCATCAGGACTGATAAATGAGAGCAGAACCATAAGCCCTGAGCACTGCCAGGTATGAGCCCCCTCTCCCCCCCAAAAAAATAGTTTAAAAACACTAAACACACAGGCTGGAGCGATAGCACAGCGGGTAGGGCGTTCGCCTTACAAGCGGCCAACATGGCCGACCCGAGTTCGATTCCTCCGCCCCTCTCGGAGAGCCCGGCAAGCTACCGAGAGTATTCGATATGCCAGACACAGTAACAACAAAGTCTCCAATGGAGACGTTACTGGGCCCGCTCGAGCAAATCGACGATCAACGGGAGGGCCTTTACCTTTACCTAAACACACAGGTAATTTTTTTTCTTTTACAAATTGGAGGTGGGATGTGGAGGAGGCTCCCTGCTATGCTCAGAGCTTACTGCTGGCTCTGCACTCCGGTTTCACTGCTGGTGGTACTGGGGAAACTTATGTGCTGCCAGGGAGTGAACCCTGGTAAGCAGGGTGCAAGCGCCCTGCCCATTTTCCTCTTAACTCACAGCCTGCTAGTTGTTTTTCATTTATTTCTATTTATTTATTTATTTTTTGCTTTTTGGGTCACACCTGGTGATGCACAGGGGTTTCTCCTGGCTCATGCACTCAGGAATTACTCCTGGGGGTGCTCAGGGGACCATAAGGGATGCTTGGGGATTGAACCCAGGTCGGCCGCGTGCAAGGCAAACGCCCTACCCCCTACCCCCTACCCGCTGTGCTATAGCTCCAGCCCCTCGCCTGGTAGTTTTAATGTTGGCGGCCCAAGCATTCCAACAGCACGTGGCTCCTTCACAAGAAAACACTGAGGCCCCTTGACAGAAGCCCACAAACGGCCCCTTTCTTTCCTCACCCAAATTCTCAATCAAGCTCAAGACATGCCAGCCAGTTCCCTCTCGTGGGACGAAGGGTACAGAGAAACCCAGCAGAATGTCGGAGAATTCGGGAGCAGCCTATGCACTGGCCTCCTTTGATCTTGTTCAGCTCCGTTCCAGCTTCCCACAAGGGACTTGGCGCACAGCTGCTTAAGAGATGTTTGCGGGCTGGGGGAGGGGGAGCGCTGGAGCAATAGCACAGCGGGTAGGGCGTTTGTCTTGCACTCCGCCGACCTGGGTTCAATCCCCAGCATCCCATATGGTCCCCTGAGCATGGCCAGTGGTAATTCCTGAGCGCAGAGCCAGGAGTAACCCCTGTGCATCTCCGGGTGTGACCCAAAAAGCAAAAAAAAAAAAAAAAAAAAAAGGATGTTTGCGGGGCAAACGGTTGATCCCCGGGTGCAGGATGGAAGCTGTTACTCGACTTGAACAGAAGGTGCCGAGCAGAAGTGTGTGAGCCGCCCAGGGCAGCTGGAAAAGGCCCTGCAGGGTGCTAGGAAGTGAAGGGGGTTGGGGGTGGGGTGGGCGTCTGCAGGCGCGGGGCGCCCTGCACCCTTCTAGGCGGGCAGCTCCGAGACGGCGGCACTCACTTGCCCGTGCACGTCCCCTCCACTTCGGTGAAAAGCTTCTGCTTCACGGTGTTGAGCAAGTTGGGGCCGAAGTAGCGCGGGTGCAGCAGGATCTCGTGTTCCAAGGAGATCTGCAGGGAGAGTGGGGCGCAAAGCTGGTCAACAACCGGGAGGCGCGGGCAGGGCCCAGGACACCGCCTCCCGCGCCCGCTCGGCGCCCCCCTCCCGAGCCCCGTCCACCCCCCCCGTGCCCAGCTCACGTGGTAAAACATCTTCTCGAAGCGCCCGGCCGAGCAGAAGCCTGTAACCCGGGCCGGGACGGCAGCTCGGAAGCCACCAGAAACGCACGCCACCGCGAGAACTACTTCCGGGTCTGCAACTGACTAGGGGGCGGGACTCCGTGCTCTCCGGACACCCGATTGGGCTTCGCTGCGGGGAGCGACAAGCCGGGAGGCTCCGCCCCTCGGAGTTTCCACAAAAGCAAAAAAAAAAGGCTTATCTTAAATCGACAGTATCAAAGTATCTCAGTAAAAGTATGCATTTATTTCTATATCTCTTTATATTTATTTTTTTTTATAATATAGAATGTGGGGGTACTGATAAATACGTTTTTTAATTATTATTTAATTTTGTTGTTGTTGTTTGGGGGGGCCACACCTTGCAGTGCTCAGGACTTAATTCCTGGCTCCGTGCTCAGAGGTCACTCCTGGCAGGACTCTTGGGATCATGTGGAATGCAAGGGATCAAATCAAATGGGCTTGGGGCTGGAGCAATAGCAAAGCGGGTAGGGCGTTTGCCTTGCACGCAGCCGACCAGGGTTCGATTCCCAGCATCCCATATGGTCTCCGAGCACCGCCACGAGTAATTTCTGAGTGCAGAGCCAGGAGTAACCCCTGAGCATCGCCAGGTGTGACCCCCCCCCAAAAAAAAAACCAAATTCAGTGGGCTTGTCTTATTCACTGTACTATCTCCCAAGTGCCTTAATACTTTTCTTTTACCATTTTAATTGTGATAGCGAGATTTATCATACTATTAATTATACTTTCACACATACATCATTTCAGTACCACACCCATCACCAGAGCCCACTTCCCACCATCTGTGTTCCAGGTATCTCCAACTCACCTGCCTTTGTAAGCTCAGTTCTATTAAAAAAAAAAAAACTCAGTTCCAATGGTTTTGATCATTTATTATTCCCTTACTGGGTTTTTTTTAATCACACATATGGGAAAGACCTTTTTTTTATTGTAGAGGTGGTGACAACACTCATACATATACAGATTAGCAGAACTACACTGAAATTCCACAAAACTGTAATTCAATGATAAATTTATATTTTTTCCAAACTCAATATCTTTCTTTTTTACAGTATATAAGTCTTAAGAATGATATGAATAATTCTGTTCTAATGTGTTTTAAAATTTACATTAAATAAATCCTCAAGGGGTTGGAGCAATAGCACAGTGGGTAGGGCGTTTGCCTTGCACTCAGCCAACCTGGGTTCGATTCCCAGCATCCCATATGGTCCTCTGAGCACCGCCAGGGGTAATTCCTGAGTGCAGAGCCAAGTGTGACCTAAAAAGCAAAAAATAAAATAAAATAAAATAAAAAATAAATAAATAAATCCTCAAGACTGGAGCAATATAGTATATGGTATAGCAGATATACTGTAGCGGATAGGGCATTTGCTTTGCAGGTGGCCCACCTGGGTTTGATACCTTAATCACTTAATCACTTAACTTCCCATTAATCGTCGATTTGCTCGAGCGGGCGCCAGTAACGTCTCCATTTGTCCCTGTTGCGTGCTAGTGTAGCCCAATGGCGTCTGTTCGCTCTTAGGAACATGAAGAGCCTCAAACCGATCGTTCATGATCTTGACGAAAAAGTCTAACCATCTGGTAGGTGGGTGGCCACACGGTCTTTTGACATCCCATGGAATCCAGTCGGTAACAGCTCTAGTCCAGTGGTCGTCTTTAAATCTCATTACGTGACCAGCCCATCTGATTTTTGACACCTTGGCAAACGATACCAGGCATCCTATATAGTCCCCCGAGCACCCCCAGGTATAATTCCTGCACACAGACCCAGGAGTAACCCCTGAGCATTGCCAGGTGTGGCCCTAAAACCCAAAAGAAAAAAAAAAACTAGACAAATATACAATTATAAATTTCAGAAAAAAAAACAAAAGGAAATTCAAAAAAGTTGTGTCCTGGGGCTGGAGAGATAGCACAGAGGGTAGGGCTTTTGCCTTGCACGCGGCTGACTCGGGTTCGATTCCCAGCATCCCATATGGTCCCCTGAGCACCACCAAGAGTAACTCCTGAGTGCAGAGCCAGAAGTAACCCCTGTGCATCGCCAGGTGTGACCCAAAAAGCAAAAAAATAAAAAATAAAAAGTTGTGTTCTGATCAATAGTACTGTGGGCAAGGAGCTTGTCTTGCACAAGACCCACCAGATTTTGATCCCCAACAACACATATGGTACCCTGAGTTCTGCCAGGAGTGATCCTTGAGCACAGAGCACGGAGTAAGCCCTGAGAACAGCGAATGTGGAAATACAAAACAGGGCAGGCACATAGGTAAAAAAAAAAAAGAAAAGAAAAGAAAAGAATCTTTTTTGTGTGAGGTATGTGACTCAAACCTTGCATGTCACATTTGGAATTTGCATATTAGAGTTTGTGTACTCTTTTATGGCACCAAATGTCATCTGCAGTAGCACCGTTGGTTTCGCACTCCAAATGTGAACTACTGGCTGGAACTGAACTCCACAGCTGGCCTCAGAGTGCTTATCAATAACAGGACGCACAGTCTCAGGAGGAAGCACATCACATTTTTAGCTCGAGACTGCTATGTAAGGCGGCTAAAACACTCTCAGGGTGGGGGCTGAAGCTATAGTACAGCGGGTAGGGCATTTGCCTTGCACACGGAGGACCCGAGTTTGATTCCCAGCATTCCATATGGTCCCTTGAGCACCAACAGGAGTAATTCCTGAGTGCAGAGCCAGTAGTAACCCCTGTGCATCACCGGGTGTGATCCAAAAATCAAAAAATAAATAAATAAATAAATAAAAAGGACTCCCAGGGGTTTGAGGATGTAGGTCAGTGATAGATTGCATGTTTGGATACATAAGACCCTGGGTTCAACAACATACACTGCCCACACAGAACAAAATTAAGGCAGAGGTATATATGAAACAAGTTCAGCAATAAAGAATTGGGAAAGGTTGATGCTACATTAGGATAATTTATTATACTTTGATGATAGTATTTCTTCTATAATGTGTCTTTGCAGTTATTAGTAACAAAAGTTAGAAAAAAAAGGTCAAAGGTAATTCTAATGTATGTTATATCTCCATTCCTGGGTCAGAGTTACTAAAACCCTGGAGATTGTCCATTTATTTATTTATTTATTTATTTATACTTTTTGGGATCACACCTGGCTATGCACAGGGGTTACTCCTGGCTTTGCACTCAGGAATTACTCCTAGCAGTGCTCAGGGGACCATATGGGATGCTGGGAATCGAACTTGGGTCAGCCGTGTGCAAGGCAAACATCCTACCAGCTGTGCTGTTGCTCCAGCCTCCTTATTTTTTTTTCTTTTGGCAATTGGGGAACATCATGTTGTGGCTCAGGGCTCACTCCTGATTCTGTGCTCAGGGATCTCCTGGTGGTGCCCATAAGTGGTGCCTGGGATGGAACTGTATGCAAGGCAGTTAATCCCTGTACTCTCTTGGGGTGACCTGAGTTCGACTCCTCCATCCCTCTCGGAGAGCCCGGCAAGCTACCGAGAGTATCTCGCCCGCATGGCAAAGCCTGGCAAGCTACCCATGACTTATTCGATATGCCAAACACAGTAACAACAAAGTCTCACGATGGAGATGTTACTGGGCCTACTTGAGCAAATCGATGAACAATGGGAGGACAGTGACAGTGACTATCTTGGGGCCGGAGCGATAGTACAGCGGGTAGCACGTGTTTTTCTTGCATGTGGCCAACCCAGGTTCAATCCCCAGCATCCCATAAGGTCCCCCAAGCACTCCCAGGAATAATTCCTGAGTGCAAAGCCAGGAGCAACCCCTGAGCATCACTAGGTCTGACCCAAAAAGAAAAAAAAATGCTGTACTCTCTCTCTGCCCTCCTGGAATTTTGTGGGTTGCATATAAAGGCTCCTCTTCCTATGCCAGCAGCTTTCCCAACAGCTGGATAATGTAGCTTCCAACCACGTCTGAACCCATTTGTCATGGGCCATGTGAGGGACCTACTTAAGGAAAACAGTTCTCCCGAGTGGTTAGGGTTGTGGGTTTTTTGGTTTTTGTTATTTTTTTTTTTTTTTGCTTTTTGGGTCACACCCGGGGATGCACAGGGGTTACTCCTGGCTCTGCACTCAGGAATCACCCCTGGTGGTGCTCAGGGGACCATATGGGATGCTGGGAATTGAACCTGGGTTGGCCGCATGCAAGGCAAACGCCCTACCCGCTGTGCTATTGCTCCAGCCCCTAGGGTTGTGGTTTGAAGATCGACCTATGTGGTTTGATTTCATCTCAGCTCTGCCTTTTATTAGCTGTGTCCTCAGTCAAGTTATTTAATCAAGCTGAGTCTTGGTCTTTTCTGGCATTTTGAGAATCTAGGAAAGGCTTCTATGGAATTTTTATTGTTGTGGTCATGATTGAACCCAGGATCTCACACATATGATACATGAAGTCTGCCACTGGGCCACACATCTCCACCTTGAGATTAGATCTTTAGTATGTTGTCAATGCTTAGCAAAGGCTAGATAAACACTGTTTTCCAGCCCACAAATACATAGACACATAGAAGTCAACATTTTCAGTTCTTCGCTTTGGGAAAAAAGTAATAAAAGTATAAAATTTAGGTGCCAGACAGATAGTATAGATGGTAGGGCCCTTGCTTTGCACGTGGCCAATCTGCATCCAATTTCCGACATCCCATAGAGTACCCTGAGCCCTGCTAGGAGTGATTCCTGAGCACAGAGTCAGGAGTAGGCCCTGAGCAATGCTGATATGGCCCAAAAACAAATAAAAGTATGATATTTCTTCTATTTTAGCTTTATATTTTATATGTATCCTTTCTATTTATTTTGAGTTGGGGGCCACACATGGTGGAGGTCTGGATTTACTCCAGCTCTGCACTCAGGGATCATTCCTGGTGATGTTCATGGGACCATATGGGATCCTGGGGATCAAACCTGGCTGGCCCTGTGCAAGGCAAATGCTCTCCCCTGTGTACTACTGCTCTGGTCCCCTCAACCCAGTTTTTATCCTCAGCATCCTATATGGTCTTCTGAGCACAGCCAGGAGTAATTCCTGAGCACAGAGCCAGGAGTAACCCCTGAGCCCACCACGTGTGACTCCCACCATCGTCAAAAAAAAAAAAAGGAAAGAAAAACAACTCTATGATTTTCTTCCTCCTTTTTTTCCCATTTCAGGAAATAGCTTTCAGTCACATCTTTTTTTGTGTTTGTTTGCATTTGGGCCACGCCCAGAGATGCTCCTGGGTTACTCCTGACTCTGCACTCAGGGATCACTTTTAGCAGTGTCTGGGGGACTGTATAAAGTGGTTGAAACCAGAGTTGGCCATGTGCAAGGCAAACACCCTACTCACTGTTCTATTGTTCCGTTCCCTTAGTCACATCATTGTACAAGATAAAATCCTGTCCATTTTCTTCTTATCCTTTATCTCATCCTGTCACTGTCACTGTCACCTTCCCGATTTGCTTGAGCGGGCCCAGTAATGTCTCAATTGTGAGATTTGGTTGTTACTGTGTTTGGCAAATCGACTACATCACGGGTAGCTTGCCAGGCTTTGCCGTGTGGGCGAGATACTCTCGGTAGCTTGCCGGGCTCTCTGAGAGGGGCGGAGGAATCGAACTCGGGTTGGCCATGTTGGCTGCGTGCAAGGCAAACGCCCTACCGCTGTGCTATCGCTCCAGCTCATCCGAAGTTTAACAAATTCTATTGACTCAACACCTCTTCCCAGCCCTGTCACCATTTTTTTCCCCAGCCCTTTCACTATTGCCCTGGCTAGTTGCCATCATATCTTGCTGGAATATTTCCACCATTTCCTGCCTACCCCTACTTTGATTTCTAACAGACATTTCTCCATAGAGTTAGCCAGAATAAGTCTCTGAAAACGATTATCATGGGCCAGAGAAAGTCCAGGGATTAAAGTGCTTGTCTTTCATATAGCTGACCCTGATTAGATCCCCTGCACCATAGGGTTCCCTAAGCACCACTGGGAGTGACCCCTGAACACACAGTTCAATGTAGCCCCCAAACACCCCTGGGTGTGGTTCAACCTCCAACTTGCTCAACCTTCTCGCAAAAAAAAAAAAATCATATTGGAATACCCTCCTCCCTTTAAAATCCACCAATGGCTTCTTATGAGAGAATGATTTCAAACTCTCCCAAAGCCAATAAAATTCCATGCCTCCCAGCCCGCGTGAGGCCCCGTTTCTTCCAATCATCCAAACACTGTGTCAGCTAAAAACAGAAACAGATGTGAGACTCAAACTGTCTTCTATAAACCAGACTTCAAGGAAATCAGGAGAAATGTAAAACAATGCTGCTATTTCCATGACATTTTTTTTTTGGTTTTGGAAAATGCCATTCTTTTTCATAAACATGCAGAAGTTATTGCATTAGCTTTAGCTCCTATAAAATAAATTTTCTGGGGCTTGGAGGAATTCTTAGAAGAAAATCTTGATGAAGGTGTCTCAGGTGGAGGCACCTGTGATCTGCTTGTTACCAGGACAAGTTTGGATGGTGGGAGAACGTCCTGGAGTCGAGCCAGGTCCGGTGGGAGGACTTGGCTGCAGGACAACTCAGCGTTCAGTGTGGGGGTGACAGGTTGGTCAGGAGCCTGTTTATTCTGCTGATAACCCTGCCGCTGCGGCCTAGGAAGCAGAGAGGAATCAGTGATCCCAAATGACAATCCTTTACTCTGGTTACCTAGAGATTTGGAACTTATGATCCAAGCCTACTCGGATCGGATCAGGGCTGAGCATCCTCCACCCAGATCCTCCGAATTCCAGTAGGCGGGGGTCACACCCACCAACTGGCCCCCTGGCGCCATGTAATCCCATCAACGGCCAAGACTCAGAGACTATAAAAACGAGCTCCCGGAAGAGAACAGTGCAGTCTCCTGCCACCGCACCTGGCTGTCCTCGCTGGGGCCCCTTGGAGGGGAGAGGGTTGAGCTTTCCTTCCCGCCCCAACCAGGGCTCCGGCAGCCGAAGACCTCCAGAACCAGCCACCACCATGCTGAGACCACTCTCCGCACACCTGAAGGTACCAGCAGAGGAACAAAGCCACGCGGGTCCGGGGGCTGAGATCTCCAAACCTACTTAAATCGGGGCTGAGCATCCTCCACCCAGATCCTCCCAATTCCAGTAGGCAGGGGTCACACCCACCAACTGGCCCCCTGGTGCCGTGTAATCCCATCAACAGCCAAGACTCAGAGACATCTTATTATGACATCTTATTATCTCATTCCTACTTTGGACAAACTGGCAGGCTACCGAATGTAACCTGCCCACATGGCAGAGTCTGGAAAACTCCCCGTGGCGTACCCAATATGACAAATACCAGTAACAATGATGGGTCTCATTCTCCTAAAGAGCCTTGAATATAGCACCTTCTTAAAAATCTCAGAGCTAGGATGAAGGAGACGTTACTGGGGCCTGCTCGAGGCAATCGACAACAGGATGGTCGTGATTCGTGATGATCTTTTTTTATGAATAGTTCTGATCATGGGGTTACTGCTGTGTAACCCCATCAACGGCCAAGATCCAGAGACTGTAAAACCCAGCTCCCTGAAGAAAACAACACAGAATCTCCTGCCCCTGCGCCTGGCTGGCCTCACCGGGGCCCCTTGGAGGGAGGGGGGTTGAGTTTCCCTCTCCGCCCCAAGCAGAGCCCCGGCAGCTGAAGACCTCTGGGACCCAGGCACAGACATCCTAAGACCACTCTCCACATGCTCAGAGGAGCCTCATGCATGAGGGAACCGGCAGAGGAACCCAGGTGTGCAGGATCCGGGGCTGAGATCTCCAAGCCTGCTCAGATCGGGACTGGGCCTCCTCCACCCAGATCCACCATCTTCCAGTAGCTAGACAGTTACACTCACCAACTGCCATGTAACCCCATCAATGGCCAAGATCCAGAGACTATAAACCCAAGCTCCCGGAAGCACGCAGTCGCATTTGTGGCCGCACCACCTCTTATTGTCTAGTTCTTGCTCTCAGAGAACGCAGCAGGCTACCGAGAGTATCCTGCCTGCATATGTGCCTGACTGGGAACACCTGTAAAGGTGATTAGAGGCTGTCCCAAAAGCCTCCATCCCTCTTGGAGAGCCCAGCAAGCTACCGAGAGTATCCTGCTCACACGGCAGAACCTGGCAAGCTACCCGTGGCATACTCGATAAGTCAAAAACAATAACAATGATGGTCCTCATTCCCCTGACCCTGAAAGAGCCCCCAATATGCCATCCGGATACACTAGCACGTGACAGGAATGAATTGAGATGTTACTGGCACCCGCTCGAGCAAATCGATGAATTACGGGATGATAGTGATAGTTCTGATCATATAATATATATGCATATATATGTCTTATTAGTAAAACTTTTTTATTGAATCACAGTGTAGTTACAAAGTTGTTCATGATTTGGTCTCAATCATACAATGTTCCACATCATCCCTTCACCCATGTGCATTTCCTATGATCCCCTCCCATCATCACCCACGCCCAGCCTGCCTCTATGGCAGGCACTTGGACACTTCTGTTTCTCTCTCTTTAGGCACTGTGGTTTGCAATACTGTTATTGAAAGGTTATCGTGCACATTCATTTACTTCCTTTTGGCACTCAGGATTTTTTTTTTCTGGTTTGGTGCCGGTAGTTCTCAGGGGTTACTCCTGGCTCTGTGCTCAGGAATCACTCCTAACAGTGCTCAGGGGACCATAGAGGATGCAGGTGATAGAATCCAGGTGAGCTGTGTGCAAAGCAAACGCCTTACTCCCTGTGCTACTGCTCAGGTCCCATGCACTTAGTTCTTGTCCTGCGGGATTATTTCCAATTATCATTGTCGCAGTATCTTAGGGAGTCTTAAAGTTGGTTTAAGACACAGCCGGGCTCATTACTTTTCTGTCCTGGCAAATTGTTTCTTGAGAGGATGAGTAGGGGCAGGTTTGGGTTATACTTGAAGGTGGCAATAGGTGTGTGTGGACTACTTCCTTTGGATGCAGGGGTTGCTCCCTGCATGCTCAGGGAACCAGGCAGTGTCAGGGATCAAAGGTGACTCTAGCAGCATGCACTGAACCGTTAATCTCTCTGGACCACATTGCAGAGTGTTGTCCTCCTCCTTATCAGCACCTGCCCGGCGCTCTCAGACACAGAAGTTGTCTATGCAGTTCAGACTAGGGTAGCCTGAACTGGCACACCAGGACACACGAGGACAGCTTTCATGCAGCTGTCACAGCCACCATCAGCCCGGATCCATGCCAGGGGGGAGTGGAGGAAGTAGAGCATGCTGGAACTTTCGAGGGAGGGACCTTCAGGAGACAAGCCCGGTCCCGGTTACGGCCGAGAGAGCTCGGGCCCCGGACTACTACGATCGGTGGGTTCTTCATTCTCTGGTCGCCCCCCAGCTGCGGCCACGGGACCGTCCGGGTACAACACAGCTCTCCTCCCTGGGGCAAAGTTGTGGTCCTGCTACCGCGCAGAAGGGGGCTGGGGCAGCTCAGCCAATCGGAAGGGCTCCGAGTCCGGGGGGCGGGACCAGGAGGAAAAGTTTCGGACAGGCGCAGCAGCCAATCCGGCGCCTCGCTGTCTGGTCGCAGCCCGAGAAGACCCACTGGGAGAGGCCGCTCGGAGCGGGGCGCGGACCAGCGGAGCGCGGGCCAATCCGGGACGGGGACGGCAAGCGTGAGCCAATCCGGACCGAGGAGGTGGGAAGGGGCGGAGTCCGCCCGGTGGCTTGCTCGGTGGTGGGTGAAGGCTCAGCTTTCTCTGCTAGTTCTCACCGTAGGACTCCTTAGGCCCTGGAATGCGAGAGGACGAGACTCAGGGAATTGCTGGAGTGGGGCGTAGAGGTACCTCTGGGGAAGGCCTGGGACTGAGAGAGACGCTTAGTTGTAGAAGCTGCTGGAAGCTACCGAGTGCGCACCGAGGAAGCGAAGACTGGGCGAGGGGCGGGACTTCCGGGGGGCAGAACTTTTGCGGGCGGGGGCGGGGCCTCTGCGCAGGCCAGGTGGGGGCGGGGCTTAAAGTAGACCTCTGGGTGTGACCTAGGAGAAAGGGGGGTGGGGTGGTCGTAGTTTAACCCCCATCGCGGAGTCGAGGGGGCGCTGCCTGAGGCTTGGGGTGGCGGGAGATAATGCACCGGGCTGATGCTAGTGGGAGGTAACGTGTACTCACTCACTATCCTCTCTCCCCAGGGAGCCACTCGAGGGGACTTTTCTAGTCTCTGCCTCCGTGGGGTACTATGGAGTTCCCAGAACACAGCCAGCAGCTGCTGCAGAGCCTGCGCGAGCAGCAGTCCCAGGGTTTCCTCTGTGACTGCACTGTGATGGTGGGGAGCACGCAGTTCCTGGCTCATCGGGCCGTGCTGGCCTGCTGCAGCCCGTTCTTCCAGCTCTTCTACAAGGAGCGGGAACTGGAGAAGAAGGACCTGGTGTGCATCCACAACGAGATCGTCACAGCCCCGGCCTTTGGCTTGCTCCTGGACTTCATGTATGCCGGCCAGCTGGTCCTGAGGGGCGACACCCCCGTGGAGGACGTGCTGGCGGCTGCCAGCTACTTACACATGAATGACATCGTCAAGGTGTGTAAGCGGCGGCTGCAAGCCCGGGCCCTGGCAGAGGCAGACAGTACCAAGAAGGAGGAGGAAACCAGCTCGCAAGCTCCTAGTCTGGAATTTTTGCCCAGCACTTCCCGTGGTCCCCAGCCATCCATGCCACCAGCTGAGACATCCAGTCACTGGGGCAAAGATGAATGGAAAGGCCCGATGGCGCCCTCACCTACCGTCTGTCCTCCGGACGAGCCCCCCGGACCCAGTGGGGCCGACACCACACAGCCTGGCGTAGAGGTTGACTTGTCGCATCTGCGGGCACCTCTCCCCACGATGGCTGATGTCTCTCTTGCCAGCCCCAGCAGTTCCACAGAGACCCTTCCCACAAACTTCTTCACTTCCGGCCTCCCAGCGGTTTCCGGGGAGCCACTGGCAGCTCTTGATGTAGGTCCAGAGAGTCTGAGGGTGGTGGAACCCAGGGGGCCCAGTGGCCCATTGCAAAGCTTTTATCCCCCAGCCGCGGCCGCCGCTCCCATCCCTGCCCCGGTCCCATCCCAGGCTCCAGCCCCAGCGGAAGCCGAACTGGTCCAGGTGAAGGTGGAGGCCATTGTGATCTCCGACGAGGAACCTGATGCTGCTGACAGTCAGCCACAGGGTCCCGAGGGGCTGTTCCCGCCTGCAGGAGCAATGTATGGGGGGCAGCCGCCCCCGCCAGAGGCGTTTGAGGAGCCCAGGGCGGCAGGACTAGAGGAAGTCGGGCCGAATGAGCACTTTCTCCCTCCAGAACCCCCTGTCCCTTACCATTTGCTGCCAGGCCCTGGGCAGTATCACCGGAGCCTGGTGGCCTCGCCCCTGCCGGCGCCCCCAGCCCTACACGAGCCCCTGTACATGCCTTCTGAGTACGAAGCGGCTCCCGGGAGCTTCGGCGTCTTCCCCGAGGATGTGCCGACGTGCAAGACGTGCGGGAAGACCTTCTCGTGCTCGTACACGCTGCGGCGACACGCCACCGTGCACACTCGCGAGCGCCCCTATGAGTGTCGCTACTGTCTGCGCAGCTACACGCAGTCGGGGGACCTGTACCGCCACATCCGCAAGGCTCACAATGAGGACCTGGCCAAGCGCAGCAAGCCGGACCCAGAGGCCGCCCCCCACCTCGGGGTGCAGCCCCTCCCCAGCTCCCCCCCAGCAGACAGACAGAACAGCGGGGGTGGGGGGCCACCCAAAGACTTTGTACAGGGCCCCAAAAACTGAGATCCGGGGTAGGGGGGGAGGGGGGAGCGTGACCTGGGGCTAGGCCTGCTCTTCTCGCCTTGGGAAGAGGACTGCACAGACAGACAGACGGACGGACGGGTGGAAGGATCTCCTGGGCACCTGCTGGGTGACCATGAAGGTACTGCCAGGCTAAAGGGGTTCCCTCCCCTTCTCTTTGCCCGACCAGATAGCAGAACTGGAGGGGGGGGGGCACAAGCCTAAAATCAGCCCGTGTCTGGGGTGACCCGGAGTCTCTCCGAGTGTGTCCCGGCTTCTAACGCTGCATCCGGCTCCATAAAGTTAAGAGTGAAAGTCTCTCTCTGAACTGGTGTTGGCTGGTTTCTTCCACAAACCCACATGGTTTCTCTGTCCTTTGAGGGACCTGACATCTGTCCTTTGGGCAAGGGCTGGGTTTCAGGTTGCATGCGTATGAGGGACTGTCCCAATTGGGGACATGGTGGTGAGTGGTGGTGGCCGTGCTGTGTGCTGGGCTCTACCTGGCATTTCCTGTTCTCTTTGGTTTTTGGATCACTCCTGGTGGGCTCGGGCCACCTCAGAGCGTGAGGGATAAAACCGGGGTCTGCCACATGCGAGGCAAGCAACCTTCTGTCCTATTGCTCCAGCCCTGGAGATTTCATGTTCTAGAAGCCTCTACAAATTTATGAGTTTATTATACCCCATGCTTCCTGCCACTGTTCACCCTCCGCCCCCCCCCCCCACTGCCCCCAGAGGACACTTGAGATTTCCAAAATCAAAATTAACTTGTTCAAGGTCAGAGAAGTTAAGGAGCAAGCCTGGGTTGGTGGCGTGGCTTGTGACTTCGATATGGCTGTCTTACAGTGTCACTGAAGAGCGTTTGCTGAGACAGAAGTTGTGTTCCTTTTTGGTGTTTTGGGTGTTTGGCATTGCTTCTTGTAGCTCTGTTCCCACATAGACCTTTGCTTGGGCCTGGAGCGATACTACAGGTGGGAGGGCGTTTGTCTTGCACACAGTCAACCCGGGTTCAATCCCTGGCATCCCATTTGGTCCCCCAAGCACCGCCAGGAGTAACCCCCGAGCATCACTGGGTGTGACCAAAAAAGCCAAAAAAAAAAAAAATCTCTGCTTGATTGTTTCAACAACAGCTCCTACATTGATGAGTTGAAATATTTGCCTCCACGTGGTAAAAATGAAGTCCCTGAGGTGAGAAACTGAAAAGCAGGAAATACTAAGCTTTGTGGTGGCAAGTTTGGGGCCAGAGCTTGAAGGCCTCTAGTATGGAAATATAGGATGAGAGGATTTTATTTTCTTTTTTGGGTCACACCAAGATGCTCAGGGGTTACTCCTGGGTCTGCACTCAGGAATTACTCTTGGCAATATGGGGACCATATGAGGATGTCAGGGATTTACCCAGGTTGGTTGCGTTCAAGGCAAATGCCCTCCCCGCTGTTTCGTTCCAGCCCTGGGTGAGAGGATCTTACAGATCGAGTCCTAGTCCTGCACTTGAAGTGTGATAGAGCTTTAAGAGGCCAGCTGCTCAATTGGGGCCCTGCAAATAGTGGATTCTGGTAGAGAGAGCAGAGACGTGGGGATTTCGCGTGGGATACGGGTGGACTTGGGGCATGGAAAAAGTTCTAGAGATGTGAAACAAAGGTCTGGCCTCATCCAGCGATGATGAGTGGGTGGATTACGGGACTCCCTAGAAACCATTCTCTCCGGGCCCGAGATAGCACGGTGGGTTGGGCACTTGTTTTGTGTGCAGCCGACCCAGATTCCATCCCCGGCATTCTCAGGAATCACCCTGAGCACTGCCAGGAATGATTGCTGAGTGCAGAGCCAGGAGTAAGCCGAAGCATTGTCAGTTCTGACCTCACAATCCCCCACCCCCCAAATAAATGCAGATGAAGGAGGAAAGAAGCCAGCAAAAAAAGGTGTAAACAGGAGTACATTTTTGAAATTTTCCTCTTGGGATTTGTCTGCCGTGCTGATGCTGGCAGGCTGCCCTTTCTGAGTTACAGGAGGCAGACAGACATAAGCACTGATGTTTGGCCAACGCTCCCAAACTGAAGCCAAAGGTGATGCTCTCCTGAGACAGTGAATCCGGTGCCCTTCACTTTTCCAGCATTGGGATAACCTTTCGTTTTAGTTTCTCTTTCAAATGGCTTTAAATTATACAAACACATTACTTCATTTATGCAAACCCGCTAGGCTCAGCTAGAAGTGCTCACTGCACATGCGGGAGCTTGCGGCCGATCCCTGCCACCACATGGGCCCTGGGGGAGTGTCGGGAGTGTGCCCTTCAAGGAAAATCCCTGGGGACCAAAGATGTGGCTCACGTGTATCCCCGGCACTGTGCACCTATCACACTGCTTGGGTGTGACCCCTACAATGACTAATGTGTCTGCTATCACATATAAATATATAGACGGGTATATATTTATAACAGTTTTGGCCAATTGCAATACCTAGCTAAAGAGGGTTTTTCAGGGCTGGAGTGATGGCACAGTGGGTAGGACGTTTGCCATGCACGCGGCCGACCTGGGTTCGATTCCAGGCATCCCATATGGTCCCCTGAGCACCGGCAGGAGTAATTCCTGAGTACATGAGCCAGGAGTTAACCCCTGTGCATTGCCGAGTGTGACCCAAAAAGCCCTCCCCCCCAAAAAAAAAGAGGGTTTTTCACTTGGTTGTCTTGAGGAACAAGCACTTGACCTCACTTACCAATGTGAAATGTGCTCTTCACTCCAGCGGTCAGGAATTTGCAAGTTATTTAAAGCAGCAGCCAACACCATAACACAATTAAGGCCAGAATAGCCTCATTTTATCTCTGCTGCCTGCTACCAAGTTTGTCCATCTGGAGATGTAAACAAAAGAAATCTGGACAGGGCAGGGCAGGAGAGATAGGACAAGGTGAGGTGTTTTCCTTGTCTGACCTGGGTTTGATCCTTGGCATCGCATATGGTCCCCTAAATATTGCCAGGAGTGACCCTGAGTGCAGAGCCCAGAGGAGAGTAAGCTCTGAGTACCACTGGGTGTGACTTAAAACCTTTATAATAAAAGAGAGGGGCCGGAGCAATAGTACCATGGGTAGGGCATTTGCCTTGCATGCAGCTGACCCAGGTTCAATCCCCAGCATCCCGTATGGTCCTCCAAGCACAGCCAGGAGTAATTCCTGAGTACAGAGCCAGCAGTAACCCCTGAGCATTGCCAGATATTAAAAAAATAAAAAGAGAATTTTCTCCAGTTCCTGACGAGTTGGTTTTTTGTATCCATGGACTCAAGGAAGCAGTGCTCAGCTTACTTGCCTCTGATCCAACAGTGACCCCCTTGTCAGGTATCAAATTTCTGCTAGAAGAAAAAGTAAAGGGGTTAAGGGTAATTGTCTTGTACCTGACCCAGTTCAGTCCCTTGCACCATAATGGTACCCTGAGCACTGCCAGGAGAAACAAACAACCTGTAGCCCAAAACCCCAAAGCCCAACCCTTCCCAAAACCAACTATTCTGGCTTTTGGGCCATACCCAGTGGTAACCAGGGATCGATCACTCCTGGTGGTGCTCAGTAGACCATATATGGGGTTCGAACCTGGGTTGGCCACATAGAAGACAAAAGCTCTCCCCACTGTGCTCTCTCTCTGACCCCCACCCACATATATTTATTATTTATTTGGGGGGCATGTCCAGTGGTGCTCAGGGCTTACTGCTGCCCCTGTGGTCAGGGATCACTCTTGGCAGAGTTCAGGGACCATATACGGTGCTGGGGATTAAACCTGGGTTGGCTGCATGCAAGGCAAGCATCTTAACCACCATGCAATCTCTCCGACCGCCTAGGTATACTAGGCCTAGGAAAATCTTTTTATTTATTTTGGGGGGAGGGTGGAAGGTTGCCAAATGATGAAAGTTTTCTCCCCAGGGACCAGAGAGATACTATAGAGGGTAAGAAAGGTGCCTCGCGTGGATGATCTCTGTGCAATCCCTGGCACTACCGAGGCCCCCAAGCTCCACCAGAGGTCACTCCAGATCACAGAGTCAGAAGTAGCCCCTGGGCACTGCTCAGTATGGCTCAAAACCTCAGTGTGGCTCAAAAAGTCCCCATTCCAGTGGTACCCTAAAAGAACTGAAAACAAGAGGAAACCAAACGCCATTTCCACATTCAACAACATTGACAATTCTTGCTTTTATTTTGGGGGGGAAGTGTCACACTCAATGCTCAGGGGTTACTCCTGGCTCTGTGCTCAGGAATTACTCCTGGCAATACTTGGGGGACTATTTAGGATGCTGGGGGTCGAACTAGGTCAGCCGTGTGCAAGGCAAATGCCCTACTCACTGTACTATCACTCCAGCCCCAACATTGACAATTCTTACTCAAATTTCTGTATTTGGGTTGTTGTTTTTTGCTTTTTAAGTCACACCCATTAACATTCAGGGGTCACTCCTGGCTCTGCACTCAGGAATTACTCCTGGCGGTGTTCGGGGGACCATATGGGACGCCAGGGATTGAATCCAGGTCAGCCGTGTGCAAGGCAAACGTCCTATCCGTTGTAATATCCCTCTGGCTCCTGTATTTGGTTTTTAATATCAGAATCCAGGGGCTGGAGAGAGAGTAGAGCAGGTAAGGCATTTACCTTGCATGTGGCAGACCCAGGTTTGATCTGTAGCACACCCCATCTGATGCCCTGAGCCTGCCAGAAATGCTCCCTCATTGCAGAGCCGGGAGCAAGCCCTGATCACTGCAGGGTATGGCCCATTTCCCACAATAATAATCAGAATCCAAGTTTTAAGGGTTTTAAAAGTTCTGTGCCTAGAACTGGAATATATATATATATTATGTATATATGTATATATACATATATATTTTTTTAGTTTCATGAATTGTTTCTTTTTGGTTTTGGGGCCACACCCAGCAGTGCTCAGATCTTATGCCTGGTTCTGTACTGGGGATCACTGCTGACAGGGCTTGGGGGACCAGGAGGGATGTGCAGGATTAAACGTAGGTTGGCCCCATGCAAGACAAACACCCTACCCA